GAAACCAGTCCGTACTAGAAAAAGGGTACTTAGCTAGTCAACAATAAAATATTTGATTTAGGCTTTATCTCATTTATATTGATGTGAATACTGATATTGTATATCATTACAAAAATAGATCTAATTGAGGTGGATAATGTTTCCAATATTTATAGGGCACTACATAAATGGTAAATTAAAGAACTCTGAAGTTAAGAGGCCTGGATTACAAATCAGGTCCAATGAACTACAGTCATAAAAAGATTTCTCTGGCCTATGCTGACTTCCTGACAGTCATGGTAAGACAATTCTACTAATTCTTCTGTTATAATAAGCATTTAACAAATGATAAACTCATATTTTAAGGGAAAAAAATCAAAAGCCTGGGAATTCAAAATATAAATTAAATTTTGACCCAGGTAGATACATTTGGTATGATTAAGAAAAAAAAAAGCACTCCTGTGAATACTTAAGTCTCTACTGCAGTTAAAGCAAGTGTGATGTTATTAAAACAAATACCGTCCTTCCACAATACATCTACAACTAGCATTTAAGATGCCAGAATAAGTTGAATTGTAAGGAAACAATACCTTTGAAAATCAACTTGAAGCATAAAATGCTTCTACTCCTACTCTCACCTTTCTTCTGCAGCCCTGCTGCTCCAGCCTTATCCCCAGGCTGCCATCCTGACTGGCTGCTAACACTCCTTGGCACTCTGTACCACCTCCTACACTGATTCTCATGCAGAATTTCCTGAGCTAGGAGACATTTCAAAAATACAGCTGGACTACACATTTCATAGAATCCTTGAATGGGCTTAGAAGGATCTTTAAAGATCATCTAGCTCCAACCCCCCTGCTGTGGGTTTCATAATTCACCTTGAAGACAGAAGATAAAGGCACGTGGGGGACAGACAGGGATGTTAAGAGCAGGAGATATGGCCAGAGCTAAAGTAAGCTTTCATGTGAGCAGTTCTTGTAGAGGATGGAGAATTAGCTGAGTGACTGATGGATTAGGGGAGATTTAGGCTGAATATAGGGATAAGTTTTTTGCAATCAGAGTAGTGAAGCACTGGAACAGGTTGCCCAGAGATGTGGTGTATGCCTGTCTCTGGACACAGTCAAGACCTGAGCAAACCATCTAGCTGTAGAAATCTCTGTTCATTGCAGGGGAGATGGACTAGTTGACCCTTAAGGGTCTCTTCCAACTCAAACAATTTTGTGATTCTATGAAAAAACAGAGACCAAAGCATCAATTGGCTTTAAGGAAATAGAGGAGTAAAATCACGAGCAAAAGAGCTTTAAACTACAAGGGTGCTAACAAACTCCTAAACAGAAGAGGCTTCAGTAGCTGAAGGATTTAGTATTAAAACTAAAAATTCTTTTCGAACTGCAGCTTTTGGCAGTGGATGAACATGAGTCTGGAGAACAACAAATGCAGCCACTTGCCAGTAATCGTTACTGAAGTTTACTCCAGTTCTGTCATTTCACAGAGATCAATGCTTGCAATATAAAATGCTGCTTATAAAATACCATAATGAGGATTATTATTATTATTTTAATAAATTCACTTACTAAACACTTAATATATTTCTATTATGTTCTAATCTCGATTTATTATTAGTTGAGATTGTTTAAACAATTGCCAAACCACAGTGGTTTCAATTAGCATTTTACAAATATACAACTGCTATATTAAATCTAAATTGACTACAGCTTTAAGAAATGTTTAATTCAAAGCACTATTAAGATTTTTTGTTGGAATGGTGGAAAATACAAAATAAGGTCAAAAATTAAAAAAAAAAATAAAAAAATTGGGGACACGACCAAATACTTACCAAAAAGCATTTAAATGAAGAAAAAGTAGTGGAATAAATGGAATTAAAAAAAAACAACAACAACAACAACAACAAAAAAAGAAGATATATCTGATGCCTCTGATGCCTTTACCATAATTGTAAATAAACAAGTAATTAAATAAATAGTCTCCAAGCTTTGTATGTTCTGCTATATTACCTAAGCAATATTTAAACCATTACATATTAATGATGCCTTGCTATTTTGTAAGAAAAAATCATTACCTTTCTTAACACAGTGAATTAACTTCATGTGTTTCATAAATAATGGATTAACAAGCCAGTTATTAAAAGCTTCTCTTTATCTTGTTTTCACTGAAGGCACATGGAACAGCTAATGACAATTTTAGAAATGCCTGGTCCTCCCACGAGGAAAGAAAGTGACCATAAACAAATGGAGTTGCCAAGCTGAAGGGAACTGCGATTTTTAAACTGTTACCATGTCTTTCCCCAAAAAGCTTACCATAGACACTGACCAGGTTGAAAGGTTCAAGATAGGCTTGAGAGATTAATTAAACCAAAGTTGAAACAACCAGTGGGGTGACAGAGTTCATTCTATTCTTTTATTCAGATTTATTGTTTTGTTTTTCTCAGAAGATTTTTTTTTTCCTCGCCCCAAAGTTATTAATTATTAACATTTCTTGGAAAATTAAGGAAGTGTAGCACTCTTCTTGGGCACTCTTGTGGAGGAAAGACCCAACACTTTTCAATTTCATGTTCAAGTGTTTTGACTTCAGTGTTCCAGATGAAAATAAGCCCCAGCAGGAAGCACTACATCGATTTCTAGGGAAAACCAATTTAGAAAGTACATGATTCACTGTTACTAGAAAAACAGTCTAGAACCATTCAGCAAATTCAAGAGACACATACTGCTTACATGTAGAAAAGAAAATCAGCCTTGAAATTCAAAATTTCCATAATTTTGGAGCTGTTGCACTTGGCTGTAGTATTTATTGTGTTACGTTTGGCACTAACTATGTTTGGCTTTTAAAATCATGTCAACATTTTCCATAAAAATATGTTCTATAGCTTCTTGAACAAAAATGGGCAAGTGTTCCAGTAATAAAATGTTAAACAGCGTTTGTGCCTGTAAAGGCATTAATAGGGCAGAAATCATTTCAACCTAAGTAATTCAAGCCCTATAACTCACAGACAGATTTTAATGGAGCCAGAATTTTTATTATTTTTAGCTGAGATAATACTATCCGAGCAACAGTCTGTAACAAGCTGTAACTAAAAGTATCTGACATCAAATAGGAAGAAACCTATTCTATTTTTCAGGAATGTTTATTTTATCTCAGCTTGAATCCACAAAATGTCCGTGTCCACAACGCAACGTGTGTACCATGCAAGATCACCAAACCAAGAGCAGATATGATTTATAAATTCACCAGTTGGCGATCACACCAAAATAAAAATACACAGCTCAAAAACCATTGGAGGGGAACCAGCACTGGTCTGTAAATTCAACTGTATAATTATTCTCAGAGGGAGAGACTGTCAAAGGCATGAGGGTGAGTTAAATATCCAGCACTCAACACATGCCAATATAGATTGGACACAGCCTCACATTTGTGCTTTTCAAAACCAATCCTGTAATTCAGGAAAAAAGGCCACTTTCTGTAAGTGGTAAAAATGTAGAATAAGTGGTATTGAATTCACAGTTCACCTTCTGTAAGCTTTGGGATTTTTTGGGGCGGTTTGTTTGCTTGAAAGAAAGCAAAGAACAACTATCAGCACAGACAATGTTCCCTATCTCACAAACACAGTACGGGCTAATATAAATACATTCATCTATTTCCCAAAACTGTAACAACATTCAAAAACATTTTCATGTTACCCAGCTTTTACAGCCCACTCCCAAAAGGCTGAAAGCGGACAAGTTGCTGAATTCACAACCATGCAATGAAAATTAAGGCCAAGCTCCTAAATTGTTTTACAGAAGGGATGTATAAATGCTGTTCTGCTCTCATTGAATTCTTCATCAAAACCTAGCCACCTGGTACAGATTAGGCAGCACTCAACAGCACTACCTATCACAAAGCAAAGAATACCATATCCACTGCATCCGCACAGGGAACGGGGAGAAACAGGCGAGATGTCATTACAAGGGCTGGAATGTGGCCAGAGCACTGCAGTTAATGCTCTTATTCCAGCCAAAAGTGCCACAGTATGACCTCATAGGCCTGTCAAGATTATGTGCGATCTGAAGGACAGCACCCACTTCCTCACAACACAGTGCATCCCTGTGACGTGCCGCAGGACCCACGGGAGAGTGCCCTACATTTAACGAATGTCTGATTAGTTCAGGAAGCAAAGAAAAGCTGTTTCTCACTTCAGGTTCTTCAGTTCGGTGACCTAATTCTGGTCAGACTATGACACATGAAAAAACTATGAATTAGGGGTGGTAGCAATGATTAATAATCCATATGGGTAATCGTCCACATATGAGCATATGGAAAAGTCGATACAAATAGGCACAAGTGCCAGATAGCGGTGAAATACCGTGCAGATATAGCAGAGCACTCATAGGCCTTAACAGCCGTACTGTGAGGCACAAACACGCAAACAAGGAATCTTGTTGCACATTAGCAGGTTGTAAATTTCCAAATAAAATGCAGCACTAACAGTGAAAGGTTGTTTGTTCTTAATAGTACATCTGTTTTATTAAAACAGCAACACTTACATATTAAAACATGTATGTTGCGAGGTGTCTGGTCACCTGAAAATCGTGTCGGAACAAAATGCTTGATGAGAAGCCCACCCATATCCCAGTGCATATACTGGGCTTGTATCTACACGAAGCATTGTTAAATATATGCTTAATCTTTTCTTATTTTCATATAAAGGAAATCATTATTTTTAAACCACAAATAGCTGCTTAAATCATAACTCTTTCCTGACCTTCATTTTAATTAAAATTAAAGAAGCAATAACAACAGCTAGGTTAACACAACAACTATTTAATTTGCTGAACATAACTGATCTTGGTGTGAGCTTGGACATTAGCAAATAAGTTTTTATGAAGATCATGACTTCTATAAAAATATTATGTTCCACAACATATCACCTTAAAAACAGAGTGTGAATTATGGCTTCCCAATAAAAACTGCATGTGAGCTTTCAAAAACATCAACAGAACAAACAAAAAGCCCACGCAACTCACTTGAACATCTGTTCATATCTGGCGTTCGGAGTCCATAATACCCTGATGGGCAGGAATGCAGGCATTCACCATACTGTCTCATTCCTTCTCTTCGTAGGAAGAAGAATAACTTATGCTGGCATCTGATGCATCCATTATCCTTTGAACAAGACAAACAGCCTTTGCAAATTGGATTTGATCCATAGCTAGCTACAAAATAAGAAGAAAAAAAATTACACTTTAAGATCATTTGGAAATTATTTTGGCTGTTGGTCCTCTTTTCTGTAAAATGTTCTCTACCGCATGACTACAAGTAGTTTTGAAAAGGAGGTTCTGCAAGCGTACTCATTGTCAAGCATCTGCACTGGGAAGTGGATAAAAAGAAATATAAAGAAATATTAAGGAAAATAAAAGAAATATAAGAAATATTTTTAACTAGCATGTTCAGCAATTTAATGAACTGGATACATTTTAAATAAAGGTATAAACAAGCAGAGATCAAGATGCATAAAATTCACAAGCAAAACATAAACAAAACTTGTATGCTCAATTCTAATTTGAAGCTGAGCATTTAAGTACAAAACAGCAGCAAAATATAATAATATTGGCACCATAATCTATGCATCTGGAATGGTATTTCCATGGAAAGCCATTATCAACACAGAGTAGCAAACTGCAGAATGGGTACAACAACTGCTGTGTACACATCTCTAAGGTATTACTGTAGCACCTTCCTGCAGTCACTTCTAGGTCTTTGTAACAAAAATAAAGACCATTATCTCCAAAAAGAAAGACAATCTGTAAGTTTATTTTCTATGAGGTTCTAGCCCAAATGAGTCGAATGCAACATGCACAGGCATTTCAGAAGAAAGGCATTTGCATCTAATCACCATTTTAGGTCACTAGCTGTTATGTTTTCTACTAAATATACTCTCTTTTTTACGACTTGAGTGATGATAGTGCAACAAACCCTGGCTGCATCCCTCTATGCCCTTATGAGCCATTACTGTTCTGCCTTCCTCCAGAGTCAGGGAACAGTCCCTGCCCTACACACAGTCAGCTCCTTCTTAGGCGCTGAGTCAGCACAGCAGGTTAGCAGAGGTCTGAAGGCTCAAGTCGTTCCTGAAACCAGAATAGCATAATAATAGATCTTTCTTAGATATTGAATTGGTCACAGGACTTCACAGACGTCTGCCTGTTTACATCTAGTTTACTAGAAACAAAAGAGAAATATTATACATGAAAAGGGAAACGCCTTTGAGATGTCAAGAGCATTTGACAGCAGCTGGTCCAAAGAGCAAAGACTATGTTTAATTGCTGTGTTTTAAAGTATTCCAGTGTATTTATGCCCTAACATAGTACTCCAATAATTTTATCTTATGTGGATGTATAAAAGCTGTTGTTTAATGGCTGACTTCACCAGCCGAGCTGGGAAAAGAAGAAAGGAAAAAGCCCACCACCCTCTGGAACCAGTAGCTGATAAGCTTTACTCTCACCTTCGCACATCTGCACACCACATTCTCGTTCTGTGGCTGCTCCATCCCCCCCAACACGCTTCTCCCAGCTCAGTATGGCAGTGTCCAGCTCCTATCCTGTGCAGAACACTCTGGGTGTGTGGCGGGCAGGACGAGGAGCCAAGTGAGTGGTGGGAAGCTGCTCAGCCCATGGGACACGTTGTGAAGGCTGGAGTTCTCTGAGACCAGGCTCATGTACTTAGATTCTCTTGATGGGAATAGTATCCTTTCTGGTATACATACTACTAAATTCTCACACCCATGCACCCATGGCAAAGGCACATACTACAAGACCAACTGCATTAAATCCTGAACCTGTGCACGCATCCTGCTGCATCCATTCTCTCTGAGACAACTTCATCTTGCAAATACCCACATTCTTTGAAGATGTACAAGAAGGAAACAGGCAATGAGCTAGGCCTGAGTGCATCCCTTCTCTCTCTGTCACAGGGACTGCCTTTCTGTAACCACATCAAACACAGGACTGTGTACTCCAAAGCAATTGTTGCTTTAACACATGGTGAGACCCCTGAGTCCCCTTTTATTTTCCTTGAATCTCACCCTCAGCAAAACTCGTTCAAGGTTCCTCACAGAATCCTGTGCTTTAAGAAAAAGAATTAAATAGAATAAAACAAAAGTAAAGTTACAAGATGCTTTCAGTTATTCACCACCACTCAGAGGTCTTTCTGGGGTTTGAAACAGTAGGGGTCAGGATCTCATATCCAGCATGATGTTTCTACCTCAAATCAAGGGTATTTTTTCCTCTCTGTCCCTCTAGAGCAGCTGCAACTGTTGCTCCAGCCCTGTGCTCTCTTCTGGAATTAACTAACTCCTTCCACAGCATAACCCATGCATACCTCCAGCAACAGTTTGCACTAGAGAATCCTCCAGGTAGGCAGCAGGAAGACTGCCCTGCTTTGTCCAACAGCCCTCACACCTTTTCCTGGCAGCCATGAGCAGGACCCACCCTTTATACTAGAAGTATGACTTTCATGAGCCTCATACAGCCACACCATCCAACATCTAACAGTTTTCATAAAAAACACTATCCAGTCACACAGTACAATCTTTACATTATTTCAGAGACTGAACAGAGAGAAGCCTATGTATGATTATGACTTAGTGCAACCACCCAAGGCGAAGAAGGAACACAAGGCCAATTGTACAACAGGAGGGATAAAGCTAAAGGCTGCAATTCTCAATAGTGTGGCTTGAGGAGCACGGACGACATGAGAACAGATACATTTGTAGGATACATGTAGGTCATACTCTCTACTCTCTTTGAACTTTCTCAAATTTTGACATCTTGGCTACAGAACACGACTCCACTGCCCAGCTTTCCTTTATCTATTACTGTCCGTGTGTTACTTTCCCTTTTCCCCATTTCTGTTAAGATGTTTTTTTTTGTCAACCCTTTGATCGACAAGGCAAGCTAAATTATGCTGACTTCCCTGGACTTCAGCCATAGCTCTGTCCCAACAGACTCTCATATGACACAGAGCTAACAGCATAAAATGGTCCTCAGTTACCTTGTGTTAGCCTTACTTAGGAGATGAAGGGTAAATCCTTCACAGCTTCAGGTAACACAGAATATATGAAAGAGTGGTTCTGTAAGTAGTGTACATTTATCCCAAAATTTTATGTTGCATATAGGTTCCCTAAAGTATCACATATCAACTGGCTTTTTTATCTCATGAACAACCTAAACAAATTTGCAATTTCTCCACTGTGTTTTTTCTTCTCAGAACACTGTTGTGAGTTGCAGCATTAAAACCTCTAAACTGCTCTGAAATCCTTGTAAGAGAGGTGTTACAAGATGAAGTGCATATATTTCTACTTAAATGGCCGATTATTAGCCGCATTGATTTTGGATAACAGGGAGATCATGATGATCATACAATGATGAGTTTCCTTCTTGCTCTCCTATTTACTAAGTTACAATAAAAACCTGAAAATGTATTTTCTCTCTTTCTTCACCATAATAGGCAAAAAATTCAATAAAAGGTTAGACAGCAGTAAGGGAAAGGAATATATGGACAGAAAATTATTTGTATGTTATAGTACGGAATAAACTGTATGAGAGAATGTGGAAATTTCTGACTGTGCTGCTTTGGGCAACTGAACAGCTTGCAAGTATTTTGTGTACACTAAGTTATTGTGAAGTGTATGTCACAGAACTGACTTTCTTCTACATTGTCATCAGTCATTCTTAGCAGAACTTCATGGGAAGCAGACAAACAACTTCTGCAACCTTTCTTTCAGTTCAACTTGTCCCTACGCAGGAAAAATCACGCTATGCTCTGCAGCTAAATTACTTGGATACTGAGCACATACTTCAACAAATCAAATATTCCAGCACTGTTCCAGCATCACATAAGCATGCCATCTTGAAGATATCAACTTAACATCAGCTCTTTGCCCCTATACACACAGGCTATAATCAAGTTCTACAAATCCCTCACCCCTTGGAAAGCCTTCTTTTTCCGTCTCATCTCTTAACACAACAAATACATCTTATGGTATACAGCTTCCTCAATTCTCAGATAATTGAAAGAGGAAGTAAATGTATCTATGTTCAGCAATAATATCTATACGTTTCCTATTGAATTTCTTCATAACAAAATATTTTTCCCCTTCTGTATTAGACTGCAAGAAAAAAAATAACAAGCTTACAAAACATGGTCAGCTACATTCCAAGTTACCAGTTGCGTCACATACAATGTAAAACATCACACTACTCTCTCAGTTCTCACATCCCTAATTCAACTCTGCCTGGAACACCCTCCTCGACTCTGTGTGCCAAGCAGGCAGGTTTTCTCTATCCGAATCCCTCATGAAAACTCACTCCTTCCACAAGGCCCACAAATGTTAACCAGTGTCAGAATGCTGCTGTCATCACATCATAAAACCAAAAATGCACACATGCTCTAAGTTAGCACCATCCTCTGGGTCTCAGAGCACATGATTGCCCTGGCTGTCTGTTAACATTGTAAGCTCCTTGCAGCAGGAGCAACATTTTGTACAGCCACACAGATATGTAGCCAGGTGTGAACGCTGCACATAAACACAAGCACACACAGGCAGTGTCTTTCTTATTCCTTTGGCTTGCTGCTTCTACAGCTACATTCTAGGGCATCTCTGTATTTAAATAAAAATCATTTACAGACTTGATTCCCTATGTTGTTGGGTTTTCTATTATTATTATTTTAAATCTGGGATAAAATATGCCAAGTTAGAAAAGGTTACTTGAGAACACAGAATAATACCCAAACACTGAATGAAACACTTGAACTCTAGGGGTGTTCAAAGTTTCATGGTTTGGATCCATATCAAGTAAAATCAAATGTCAGCTAATTACTTTAACTCTTGTCTGGATCAAAAGTATTAAAACCACTTCAGCAATATGGCTTAAAGTGAAATGTTATGACTATTTGAAATCACAAGAGAACCAATGGTGCAAAATGAGTCTAGTCTGTTCCCCACAATAAGACAAGTTGCAAAAGAACTAGCAGCATTTAATTTCCTATTGATTTTAATGTCTTGCAGCCCACACCACAATAACTGCTACCAATTTGTTTCTTTCTTGTACATTCACTTGCAAGTAGTTACAAGTCTCCTCAGAATCTTGTGTTCACTTCACCCCAAGAACATGATATTTTTATACAGCTGTAAAAATGGATAAACGGGTGCAA